GAATGCCACAAATTCTCCTAAATCACTCGTACGCACAACTTAAGAACAAATCTGTGCGTACGAACGGTTCTTGCATGAGGCCCAATGGTCCTGTTTTGCATATGACTAACCTGTTTGTCCATGTGGAGGCAGTGCTTGTAAGGCTGAGTTCACCTGAAACTCTTATTTTTTCTTCTGGATTTTTTTTCTACATGGCTTACTGAGATGCATCAGGACATTTCTAAATTTAGATTTTTCAATGAAAATTGAAAAAAATATGTATTAATACAAATATAGAATTATTTTTACATAAGTCGGAGCGAAATCAAATGACATCTTTTGTTCATCCTTGACTTGGAAGTGTTTAAAACTTGTGTAGGCTCTTTTTTTTTTTTTGGTCCAAAAAATTTCCCTGATAAAATAAATCAATACATTTCTTTGTCATTTTATGTTTTATTGTACAAAGCAGGGGCTCTCCAAGCTACAATTTGTGCCCCCAAATAAAGGTGGCAGAGTTTTGGCTGAGTTATTTTAAGCACAAAGCTGCAGGTTATGGATGTTTTCGTCACATACTTTTGCTTTTCGTGGAGTTTTTTATTATTATTGTTATTTTCCATCTTTATTTAAGAAATTTTCAGTGGCCCCAAGGCTCTGGAAACTGGATTTATTAAGGTTTCATGTTTTTGTGCCTGGCTGCTAAATTAAGATGTGGTCGACCTGAGTTCATCTTTCAGATAGCACAACATGCTGCCAACAAACTTACAATGTGCTGAAAACAGATTAACTGAAAGAAATCTGGATGTTAATTCATTCATCTCAGCTCTTTATACAGGTAAGTTTAAATGCACAACCATAAAAATGCTAACACAAGTGTCCCGCTAAGGAACAACAGTGAACAAATACATTATTATAATGCTAAAACAAAACAACCCAAATGAATTAAGTTTCACGTACAGCAGGTAAAATAAATATTGAACACGTCAACATTTTTCTCAGTAAATATATTACTAGAGGCGCTAATGACATGAAATTTTCACCAGATGTCGATATCAACCCAAGCGATCCATACATACAAAGAAATCAAACCATAAATGTCCAGAAATGAAGTTATTTGTAATAATGTGGAATGGCACAGGGACTGAACCAGCTGATATTAACTTGCACTGACAAGGGGCAGGCTTGCTTTCTAATTACTGAGAGA